ATCTGACTCAAAAAGAAAGGGAAGCAGTTGCTAAGAAGTGAAATCAGGTTAATTCAAATTAGGAATAAGGCAAGTATCTTTTGCAGTGAAGCAGATAACCAGAAAAGAGGTGAATTTTCTCTTTTGAAATGTCTTTATGTCAGTATCCTCTTTTTAAATATGGAAACTAAAGCTATAGGTAGAGGCAGACTTATCCACTCTCCTTTTTAAGGTTTTGAACAAATGGATCAAGCCTTTGCCACATAACCGTGCCTGGTGCTCCCATTGTCACTTCACCACCAGCCCCAGTCTGTTTCCAGTACTATTTTTCTGAGTGTTTTTCCTTAGTCTTGAAAGCAGGACCACGGAAGAAAAATGGAACAAATGATTTGTGATGAAGAGCAAACTGAGGAAGGACGAGCTGGCAGGTTGTTGGAAGGGGGTGTTGCAAGGACAAATGTGCCTTGTGTTTCCAGCCACTGGGGGCTGGCTGAGAAGCAAATGTGATTTGAAATTGCAGCTGAGAATGTTTTAGTCTAGATGTGACTTTTTCAAGACTAGATTTACTTGCCAGGCCTGTGAAATCTCAGTCATTAGTTTTTCAAAAAGTTAGACAAATAGCTGTCTGAATGTCTTAGATCTCAGTAGAAAGATGGGTTTAGATGATTCATAAACCTTCCTGTTTGGAATTTCTAGGATTTCCCCCAGATGAACGTTTTTGTGAGTTTTGATTGAAAACACACTTTGTTCAAATGGGTCTTGTTTTTCAAGTGCCTCTAATTTCTTTGTCAGCAGTCTCATCTCTTCCTCATTTATCAGTCTGCAGGTATTTGTAATATCAGCTCCCTCTGCTCAGTTTGCTTTAGTTAGTTCTCATTGATGGATGCATTCCTTTGTAAGGGGTTTCATCCCAATCCTTTCAGGAACTTGCTAGTAATGGTGCCTCAGATGTCAAGTGCTCATTGATGTCTATGTTTTCAAGCTAGGTAGGTATTTTAAATCAATTTGATGTGTACTTTAGTCATGCTGTATTCTCAGGTGCTAGTTTAGAGGTCTTAAACTAAGAAATTTACTTTATTGCTTGAACTTAGAATAAACTGGAACAAAAAATCAGGCTTGTTAAACCAGAGCTAATGCACAACAAATATTCTTTCCTGACTGTTATTATATTCCTGGCTTTGTTTTGTGTGGCTTGCATGTTATGTTAATAATTTAATTCACCTGCATGTGTGAAATATGGGCGTAGTGATACAATTTGCAGTCTTTGGGAATGTGCAAATTTAGCTTGGAGCCAGGAGTTAGTCTCACTTGAATTAATTTTACTATCTTGGGGGAAAACCAACAACCCTAAATTTTGTGACAGTGAGGTTTTTCACAAATTTTCATCAAATTGAAAAAAAAACAGAAAGCAGATGTACAAAACTGTTTTTATATATAAAAAGCCACCTCTCTCTTTTTTTTTTTCCTCTGTGATCATTGCTGGGTTATTATGCTTTTAGTGAAGCAAATAATTTCACTTTCCCTACAGGAAGGACTGCATGGTTCTGACTTAGGGAAATGGGAAGGAGTAGGGTGTTCAGCAATGCCTTCCTAGAGGCTGGCAGGGCTGTCAGCAGCCTGGGAAATAAACTTGGAACCTTGGAAACTGCAGGTTTAGTGGGGCAACTTTCAGAAGCAATGTATCAGCTTTGAGAACACATCAGGAGCTGTCAGCACAGCCCAGAGCCATAAATATTTAATTTGTCTTGACCCTTTTGATGTTGTCAATCAATGTTGTTCTCTTCTGCTGCAGACCTGGGACTATTATGCTGACAGTGACACCAGTCAGTTTGTCAAATGGAATGACACTGTCTCTCCAGATTCTGCTCTTTGTGGCCATGGGATTCTGTCAAAAGCCTTTGCAGACAGTACACAGCCCTTGTGAAATTTATAGCTTCAGTCCTGCTCAGAAGTAGAACAGAACAGCATAATTAGGTAATATATCTTGTTAATGATAGTTTTGTGCAACAAGGTATACAAAGGAAAATTATCTGCCTGCAAAAAACCCCCATATTAACTAATGATGAAATTCTCAATTCTTATAAAAGTCAAATATCAAATATTAATATTGCGGTTTTGCTTTGCCACCGATTTCTTTGGTTATCATTGCATTAAAATATTTAAAAATATTTACACTGAAATAAAGGTACATTTATCTGTAGAAACTGTTCTATTTTAGCTGACTTTGCCTTTTACAAAGATTGCTGGAGAAATACGATATAGCTGTCCAGGAATTACCCTGGCACATCGATTCTCTGAGTCTGGAGAGTATATCAGTGTTTAAAATGGAATGTTTTAATGAAACAGGTAAGTCAGGTGAGGTGAGGCAGTTAAAATAGTTGGTGGGTTCAGCTAGCAGAGAAAAAGGGAATTATACCTAAGGTAAATGGATGATTATTGCTCATCAGAGCGATGATAATTTTGAATGTAGCACATTTCATACCAGTTGGAGCTCAAAAGCATAAGGTGTCCTAAGCAGCCCCTTCAGCATCAGGTTTGCTGCAGAGTTTGGTTTGGCTTAGTAACACTTACACAGTTACAAGGAATGTTGAAAGAATATATATAGAAAAAAATATATGCTGAAAGAATGTATAGAAATAGGGAATATTGATAGAATAAAGTTTCTTCCCGCTTCTACTGACTTTCTTAGTCAAGAACACATGCTTTTTCCAATTTTTTTTTTAATTTTTAATTTTACATCCTGGTTAAAACTGCCTGCTGTTTCCAGGCTGTGACTGAAATGTGCCACAGGCAGGTGATGGAGTGAGCTCTGTCTGTCACTGAGGTGTGTGCCCTGCCTGGATAAGCACCTCCTCATTGCTGGCCTAGGACATGATGTCTGAGAAAGGCAGTGAGCAAGGAAGTTCAAATAACAACTTTGCACAAATGCTTGTCAGAAAAGCTGGGGCCCATCTGTAACAGCCAGCTGCAGAGTCCTACCAGTCAGGAGCATTTTATTGCAGGGTGCCCTGACGAAGGCAGGAGTGATGAATCTGACTCTGTGTTCTCAGAATGCTAATTTGTTATTTTATTATACTATATTATATTAAAGAATACTATACTATACTAAGGAATACAGAAAGGATACTTACTCAATGCTAAAAAGATAATAATGAAACTCGTGGCTCTTTTCAGAGTCTTGACACAGCTTGGCCCTGATTGGCCAAAGAGTGAAAACAACTCACAGCAGAACCCAATGAAACAATCTCTAAACACATTCCACATGAGCACAACACAGGAGAAGCAAATGAGATAAGAATTGTTTTTCTTTTCTCTGTGGCCTCTCTCACTGCCTTTCAGCTTCCCAGGAGAAAAACCCCGAGCGAGGGGATTTTTTTCAGAGAATGTGAATGCCACACAGGAGCATTTCCATTTGGTTTGTCATTGTCTTTGCTCCAGAGCAGGGCTCTCAGATGGGAAGCTGTGGGCTGCATCAACCCTTTAGGACAAGGGATCTCTTTTACCCTGTGCCTCTGGGCAGGTGGAAGGAAGGAAGGAAACCTGTTCTGGCTGTGGTGTGGGCTGTGCTGGGGTCCCCTGTGTCCAGGGAAAAGCAGAACACCCCCTACTCAATCTTCTCAAAATATGCCAAATTACTTAAAATTTGGAGAAGTTTCCCAGTTTGGGGAGTTGACTGGTTTAAAAAGATGAAGATAACAGTATTTATTTCTCAGAGAGAGAAGTTATATACCTTTGGGTTTTTAAAATTTTCCTTTTAATTTTTAATGGATAAAACTAGTATGATGAAGTGTAATATATAATAGGAATTTGGTTTCTTAGAAATAGATTATTTAGCAGTTGACAAAAATACCTGAATCAAAATGTGGTTGCAACCAGACTATAAACATTTACCAGTGAGAATAATCAATAGATCTAAATGTGGGATCTTAAGAAAATACCCACAGAAAATTTGTTCTTAAAAAAATCTTGCCTCAGGGGATAAAAAAAATGTGACCTAAACAAATAGGAAAAAAGAAGGGTGTTGAGACATCCTCACTGAATGAGAGTGAGATTCTCTGTTGCAACTGTATAATGACTTTGCTTTTATTTAAATGCATTTTGCAGCAGTCTTGCAAGTTTTATGTAATGGAACGTGAATATTTAAAATGATTTCCTGAGAATTTATTCTCTCCTGCACACACATCATTTTAGAATTCAGGTGAAATGTTGGTTTTGTTAAAACCCATACTTTCTTTCAAAAGCTACTAAAATATTCAGCTCTGCTATATAATAATTTTACTTTTGTGCAGATTTTAAGATAGGATTTGGGTTTTGGCAGTATGGACTAGATTATACAGGCTGGATTTAAACCCACTACATGCATTAAAGCAACAAAGGATGTCTGGGTTAAATGGTGTGAGCTCCTGCAGAGAAATGCTTTATTTTTCAGTTATTTCTATAATGTAAACAAGCCTGTTAATACAAAGCAAAGAGCAGTTTGCATTCAATGTAATAACATCTTCCCATGCATAATACTTCCCAAGTGTCACACTCCAGCCTCCTGAGATAAAATACAGTTTCTGACCCATTGGTACATGCAGAAGCCTTGGTGTGGTCAGCAAAGTGACAGAGGCAATCAGCCAAGGTGGGAATCAACAGACAATCCAGTGCCTGGTTTGATGGATTTCCTCTCCCTTTAGATGCATTGTCATCTCTCAGTTGCTGTTGGGGACCAGAGCATTCACCCCACAACCTGTATTTTATGATTTTGCATATTTTTTTAAATTCTTTATGCTTTGCTTGGCTGGCAGGCTTAGAGCACTGCTTGCAGCTCCTGGAGAGGCAGCAAACTGAACACTGCCAAGCTCTGTGCCCTCACTTCCCTGGGCACACCTGGGCTCTGCTCTGCTTGGTACCTGGCTGCTCTGCTTTTGCACAGTTCTCTGCTGTGCTTTTGCTGAAAACTCTTGTGAGTTGCTGACGTGCTTTTAGCTGCACTTCACTAATGGGAATTTTGCTTCTCTACAACATGAGGAGACGAGCCCCCTTCAGATGCTGCAGTGTGTTTTCTACCCATTGCTTGAGAGATGGATGAATTAAAGGATGAATTTCCCTCTGGACATACCCACTTCTCTGCAGAAGCTTAGGAAAGCACAACCAGCTTGCTCAGGCTTGTGCAGTCACCTGCTAGTGACTGGAGGGATGAGACAGGACTTTGCTACTGATGTGGGCAACAAAAAAGCAGATCGAGTGAAACCTAAATTGTGTTGTCTGGGGAGGTTTGTGTGCTCATTCAGGAGATGGCAAATGTCCTGGACAATGTTTTGCCATCCTTCCTATTCCTCACCCAGGTTTGTTTGCTACTTGTTCTCCTTCCAGAATTCCCTCTGGTGAACTTTCTGCTGGAGACTTTTGCCTATGGGTGGGAGTGGGTGCTGGTATCTTATGTTTTTGCTGTTCAGGTGGGGATCTAATGCTTTGTCTCATCTGGTTGAGAACTGAGTATCAGTATAGTCAAACAAACAAAACCCTTGTATCTGCATTTTGAAACCATACAAACATTCTCCCACAGTGCCTATACTTATATCAAAAACTTGGTAAGTTACACTTGGGTTGTCTTGATCCACCATTATGTTTTGCATCTCTCTGTTATTATTTCTTTATTACTTACTGGAGTGTGTTATATCTGAAAGTGTATTATTCAGTGGAAAACAATTGTATATCACTTAAATTTGATGTTTTGAACAAATTAATTTTTAAATTGAAAGAGATTCAGCTGACCTAATGATTCATCAGTTTAGGAAGGTAGCTGCTTGCAAGCAACATTTATGCCAGATTACTAAAAATAAAGGTTTATAACCTCAATAGTGTACTGTCTTCTAGTAGTTTAGCCAGGAAACAGAGGAGATTATTTTTCTTTAGGGTCCTTTATATTTTGTGCATGCAAGCCTTATTTTGCACATGAATAAAAAAAGTCTCTGTGTGGAAGATGGACTGAAATTCTTTCCTCTGAGAAATCCAGTTTTCAAGTTAAATGTGTATTATGCCTTTGTTCCTTTCTTTTAAGTCAGGAGGAAAGCAACTCCACAGGAAGCTGGGGAGATGTGTTCGTGAGGTACTTACATGGACTGTTGCCCACAAGAATACAGAAGTGGATAATGTTTAAGAAAAAATAGGAGTTTAAAAATCCCCATGTGTGGCACTGAGAAGACACCCCAGATGGTCAATCTGCAGCCCTATGTAGTGACACACCCAGGGGCTACTTTTGAGCGGCCAACACAAGTAATGCAGAATTTCCCCATTGTGCTGGATGTTCCTGCCCCCTCTGCCTGGCTGGAACCCAAAGGGAAACAGAAGCCCTGCATTTTCCCTGTTTTCATACTCCCTGTTTTCAGACTCCCAAATGGGAGAGGGATGCAACGTGGGTAAATTGAATTGAGCACAGTTTTTGAGATACATTGAGATACATGTTTGCCTCTATTCCTTGTTACAGCAGCTGCTGCTAATTCCTGGCCTTTTAGGTCTTTGTTTGGTTTGCCAAGGTAGGCATCCAGAAAGGCACAGCTTCAATAAGCCTGGAATAGGTAAAGGGATTTCAAAAAATTTTGAAATGAGAATAGATTTGATTTTTGTGCGAAGACAGTATTGTCATGACCTGGAGGTGTTAGGACATGTGTGAACAGGTTGTGTGAGATGGAGAGGTCCTTGAAAAGGAAGGTAGCTGGAAGTTGTTCCTGTTGTGAGAACAAGGACCAACAAGGCACAGCCATGAAGAGAGCCCTGTGGCGATAGTTTTTGGGTTGGAGGTGGAGGGACAGTCTGTCTGACACATGGCAGTCTGGATGTCAAAGCAGGCAGTGCAGTCCAGTGTGTATTCCAGGGATATTGGAGGATGCTGCAGTTATTTTCATACTGCTTCTCCTGGCCAATTGGTCCAGAGCTCTGTGGCTGGCTGCTCTGAGCCCTGTTTGGAACAAGGTTTGTATTGCATGCAGTCCTGTCCCAGCTCTCACCACCAACGTGCACGGGGCAGGGGCTGCACCTCCTGACACAGACACAGACAGCTGCTACCAACATGTGAACAGCACGTGGAAAGAATGGAGTCAAAACCCACACGACTTGCACCTTACTAGCTGTGGCCAAGTGTTTTGTTTGGATGATGGAACTGAACTTGTGATCTGTGTGTTTTTCACCCTAAGGCAAATTGCCATCCAGAACTGCAGGCCCATCTGTTCAGAATGTGGCTGGCAGCCCTGGGACCATGCATATGGAAGAGGTTTTTTAGTGACTTCTGTGAGCCAGAGAGAAGTTTGATAAGAGGATCCATGTTTACCCCTGAAAGAATTTTCTACCAAGGTTTTTGATGTAAAAACCAAGAAAGAAAGAAAGAAGGATAAATAGGAGAAACCCACAACTGCCTGTTCCAATGAGCACTTTGTCTCTTGTGACCAAGGAGTAAAGTGTAAACTTATGAGTCTTGTAAGAATGTATCAAAAGCATGCGTGCTATAAAAACCTGGGGTTCTGAAGCCTTCTGAAAATGGAGTGTGCTGTTTTGTATTGTCTCCATCTCAACTATGACACAGGCATGTGCCAGCTGAGGTGGCACTGGTTCATGCACTGTCAGCACAGCACGGTGCTGTCTCTGCTTCAGGCTGTGCCCTCTGCACAGAAGGGTGGAGTCAGAAAGGTGCTGCACTGCCACCCCAGCTCTCAGCACAGGAATGAGCTCTGAAGCTCCCCACACCTCCCCATTCAGAGCAGGATCCTTGTGCCTCAGCCCTTTCCTGCCCTGCACAAGGCACCCAGCCCAGGGCTAGGCAGGGCCAGGCTGTCCTGGGGGTGTGCAGAGCTCCTGGCACCACCTGCCTGCCCACAGGCCAGCACAGACAGCAGCAGCTTTTAAATCCAGCTCTGTGTGCTGGGGCAGGGTCCCTCGAGGCACTGGAGTGCTTACAGCTAGCAGGAGGCAAGTGGGGAGAGTGAGCAGGGCTTGCTATCATTATTAATAATAATATTAATGCAAAAGCTCCCAGAGATCAAGGACTTCAAAATTAATTGTTCCTGGTTACAATATACAGCATGAAAAGAGGCTGCCTAAACCAGTAATGGAATTCTAGTCCCTACCTTATTAAATTATTTTGTTTCAGATCTTCAGCTTTTTTCCCCATCTGTGCAAATTTTTTATAAATGTTTAAAAGAAGAATTACAAAGGAAAGATTAGGGAGAGTAGAAATAGCAGTGATCCAGCTTGAGGAAGTTGTACGGAAAAGCAGTAACTTCTGAGATACTGAAGCATTTTTGAATAAATATTCTTACATTTTATGACTATTATAATTCTATGTCAAATACCCTTATGTCCAGATCCAGCATTTCTTCTGCATTTTAATCTCCCACTAACTTCAATTTCACCATATTCAAAGGGCTCCATCTTGCCTTTCATGTTCCCAGTGGGATTTTGGATTTGTGAGGAATGAAGAAGTTTGTAATTTATGAGTGCATTGAACACCAAAAAAAGATGAAATTATGGAAGATCTGCTCCAGTTGCTTGGTCTACTTTATGGTACAACTCTGCATAATAGCCTGATTTACACATGGGTTTCCATTGTTGGTATTTTATTTATGCAACATTTTGAGCTGATAATTTAAAAACTTGGAGCATCTTTTGAAAGTATTACTTAAATAGATCATTCAGTTCTTAGCAGGGAGTCTATTTTTTCTTATGCAAGAAGAATGACATTATAGTTGCAAAGTGTATTGCAATTAAAAGGAATTGTTTTGATCAAAGGGAGAGAGAGAAAACATGGGTTTTACCCTTCTGTGGTTCTGTCCCTTCTCCTCCCCTGCCCTTTACAAATCATAGGAACAGTTACCCATACAACAGACACTTGGATGTCTAGCTGACTCTTCATTTCCATGATTAGCTGGTAGATACTCAAGAACCAAGAATTTTGCACACTGGATAGTGCATCTCAGCTTGGTTTCCTGTTCGGTGCAACCTGAGAGCAGCTGGCTGCTGGGAATTTGCAGAAAGTGTGGTGGGAGTGGAGTCTGTCCTGTCTTTGCCAGGTGAGAGGTGTTAAAGGGCTGTTACAGTCCAAAGTTTGAGCTGCTGTGCTGTGAACTCACCCAGAAAACAGGGAGCTGCTGTGACCCTTACTCAGCAGCCTCTTCTTCCTGCTGTGAAACTCACTGGGAATCTCTAAGGGACTCCTGGCTATTCTTTAAAAAAAGTGTCAGATATTCTCCCATGAGTTGAAAATATCTGCCTGTTGGGTGGCTTGTGCTGAACGGGCTGTATAATATTTGCTGGGTCCCCCGTGGCAGGGAGGAATGATGCATCTGACTCCATCTTATCAGAAGGCTAATTAATTACTTTATTATACTATATTATTCTATACTATATTACACTATATTTCATTACATCTAAACTGAATCTGCCAAGCACTCAACTCTGCACACAACTGCACTCATTACTCTCATCTTGTGGCTGACAGTCTGACACACACACACACTGTCCTGGCCCTGATAGGTCAAGGAAACAAAACATCCTCGCTTTGGGTAAACAATCTCCATATTGCATTCTACTTTGGCATAAACACAGGCACAGCACATGAGATAAGAATTGTTTTTCCTTTCTCTGAGGTTCAGAGAATGTGAAACCCAGAAATATTCTTGGGAAGAATTGTGCCTTGCTTTTCTCTGTGAAGAGAATGTGGCTACAGCCTGTGTACCACCCTAATACAGGCTGTGTCCTAATTTCTCTGTTCTTTCACTTACCAGCAGAGCTGTGTGCACAGGGCATAATGCCTGCCATGGGGTTTGCTCGGGTCTGCAAACCTGGGTGTTTGTACCCAGGACCTGATTTCTCAGATGCTTTGTGCACTTGAGAATTTGGTTTCGGTTAACTCTTTCCTCAATTCTAATTTTAATGCCTCTCACTTTGAGAAGGAGAAAACCCCCACCCTTCTTCCAGTTCGCTTTCTCTCTTTCTGCAGTTTGTGCTGCTTGTGGTCTGCCCAGCCTGCCCTGGCTGCTGTGTGGAGAGCTCTGGTGACCCTGCAGCTTATGGGGAAGAGGTGCTGGGAAGTCCTGCAGAGGAATTCTCCATCAGGAGTTCCAACAGAGGATTCGATTGCCCCTGGGGATTCCTCTTCCTGTCAGAGGTGTGATGAGTCTGCTGCTGCTAGACTGGTCTCCTGTCCTCTTCCTTTGTACATTTGGTCATCAGGCACAAACCTTAAATTCTTGGCACCCTGGGAAACTCACTGATAAACCATTCCATTGGTTTATGGAATTGCTATTGTCATCACCCTGCACAGGAACAGACCAGGCTTGGACAGGGTCCCCATGGCAAGGGATATCAGGTGCCATCCAACAGTATTGAATAGAATGTTTCAAAATTACTTTTTTATAATATCAGTAGTTTGGGATATTTGATTTAAATAATCCGTGAATATTATAGAAGTCTGGATTAATTTTTTTTGTTGCTCTTGATATGGGAATTAATTTTTTTTCTGTTTTAACACTAGTAGAAATTAACAAAATAATTAACAAAATGACCCAGTTTTCAGAAAGCTTTGACTATTTATATAACTTCCTCTTTGTACTGGTTGCTGAAGAGCATTTGTTGCTTTTTAGATTTCTTCCCCAAAGAAAAATCAATTTTATTATGTTAGCACTGTGTTTTAAACAACTGTGCAATTTCTATTTCATTATTTAAAAGTGGAACTGCCTTAGAATCTTTTCAGGGTAGAAAAATTAGTTAATAGAGTAAAGGCAGATGGAGGAAAAAAAAAGCTTGGCAGGGAGTGGGGAGATGTGAGCCCTTCCAGGGAAGCCTGTTGAGCATGTTTGAGAGGAAATCTGTGCATGCATGGCCTTGTTCCTTTTGTCCTCTGGATCCATGTGGTTCATAGCCTTCATGAGCATGGTGAACCTCA